AACAAACAATTCTGTCTATAGGCACTCTTACATATACCTTTCTAAGGGTTATACAAAAAAAAAACGCATGGGTATATCTACTAAGTAAAATTTCAATGGGCAAAAACTTACTAATAAAAATTACAATGGGCAAATCTCCAAATGAAATGGGCAATTGCCTATTTGCCCCCCTCCCTGGATACGCCGCTGGGAGAAGCTGAAATTCCAAAGATTATTTACTAGCCACATGCTAACACAGGAGAAAACAGTAGAAAAAAATGAAGAAAACGTTGATTTTACCAAAGAAATTTTAGCTCACTATCATTTTTTCTTTAGTTTCCTAAGCGGTCGGAGATCTTACGATATAGCAAAATAACTACGTAACTTAGGGGATATCCACTTTTAGGGAGATATTCAATTAAATTTTTTCATTCTGAGATACATTCGATAATAAGCGGCCGAAATTAAAAACAGAAATTCTTCGTACCATCAAAGGTAGATTCCTTTATCTCAAAAAATGAAAAGTTTTTCAAAGTATCAATAAAAAAAAATTCTTTGTTATTTACATTATTTTGATTTTCTTCGATTGTTGTTGTTATTGGTTGAACCTGATTTGATTTCCAATTTAATTTTTTAGTGAATGGTAGAATATAAAAACAGCTTATTATAACAAATTTTGGTATTAATATTTTTAACACTGTATTGAGGCCACCAATCAATCCCAATATTGTTGTTATCGTATAAATATAATCAAAATTTTTAACGTATGTATACGTACATTGGTCAGGATTACATTCATTAAAATATGATTGATATGAAATCAAAGGATTCCATTGTTCAACCATTAAATTATCAACAATTTGTTCAATTGTTGTATTTGATTGATATAGACTATTTTGTGTTGAATTTAATAATGAAAAATTTAAACGTTGATTAGATATAGGTGATAAAATTAAATTTAATTGTTCAAAACATGTTGGATTATCATCATAAAAACATTCTAATGTTGATTGGAGTAATGAATTAACTATATAACAACCACAATACAATCCATTGACTGTCGTATAATCGTCATCTATAAGATAATTATAGAGTTTTATTTGTTGTATACATTTATCTGTATTTGTACATGAACATGATTGATTATGTTGATCATAATAAATATTGGGTATTATTAGAACACTTTGGAGATATTGTGGTGAAAAAAATTCTACATTTGTACCGCTTGCTAATAATCCATTTACTTGTATTGTATCTTCTAGTATTTGTAATGAACGGTTATATGTACTTGTTGTTGTTGATATAAAAAATTGAATATAGGAATTAATTTGTATTTGAAATAATTGTTCTGGTATTAATTTATCATTAACTAATTGTGTTAGATAAAAAACAATTATACTCTCTTGAATTGTTTGATTTGTTGATTGACATAATGTTTCTAACATTTGAAATAAACCAATTGCAGTATTACGAAATCATCATAGACATAACCGAAAGAAATGCCATAATTTGTATTATCATTGATATATTCAAACCATTTATCTGTTATAAATTGACTTGAACAAACTTGATGATAAATTGGTGACAGATAAATAAATTTTTCATATGGAATAGATATTTGTGTACAAGAACATGTTAATGTTTCTGAATATTTCTCATAAAGTGTTTCATATTGTTTCAGTGTTGGTGATTTAATTATTACTATTAGTGTTCGATTAATTAATGTTGTATAAAATGTAAAAATGAATAATAGGAGAATGAATGTTAACAAATATAAACGTGTTGATAAAATTTCATAATATTGATAATTTTTATTTGATGGTAATAATGATGATGAATATGATTGAAATAAATTAAATTTTTCTGCTTTCTCTTCAATTAGTTTCTTAGTATTCGTAAGAAACTGACGCATTGGTACAGCTATTAAGAGAAAGAGGAAAACTCTAATACATTCGTTTAGTCATACTAGCCAAAATAATCATAACAAAATCACGTTTTTTCCGATTCGTCAGTTTCACAG